AGGAGGAGGATTGGCAATAGACGTTAGCTCAGAGCTGGTCTTCCTCAGTAAAAAGAGGAGGATTAGCATGGATGTTAGCTCAGGGCTGATCTTCCTCCCAAAAAAAAAAAAAAGGCAGGTAGGAATTACGCTTGTAAAATTCTTACAGATAGCCTTCTGTGAAATGTGTATTTGATTCCTTAAAGGGCTTACTCCTCAATACTGTATGCACAAAGCATTTGGGACTAGCTCTGGGCATTGGCTTACATCCTAGTCACTCCTAATCAGATGATGAATAAGAAATACATTGTCATTTTAGTGTGTGGGGACAGAAGGGTGGATTTGTGCTTTTATATACTGACTATGAATTTAGAATTTCCCCTTAGTTTTCAATTAAATAAATTTTTGACTATAACAATAGGAAGCAATATAATGAAGAGGGGAATAGAATCATACATTTCTCTTTTATGATGTATGAACAGGACACTTGGACAGAAAGAGAAAATATAGCAAATGTTTAGAAATCACATCCTGGTTACATTGTATAAATGATGATCAAAATAGGAAGTACATATGTTTGAATTATATTTTCTAGATATTAAGTAATCCTTCTGTGAAGATACAATATCTCTCTTCTTTTTTCCAACTGGGAAACACATCTGGTAAAATTGGCTGAATGTCCCATCTCTGCCTGTGCCTTGACTCGTGGCTTGGTATTGAGATGCTTGATCGTCGTGTACACACAGTACAATACTTAAAACAAAAAGCAAGCAAAGCAATCTTTAGGAGAATGGGCAGTGGCCCTGGACAAGCCTTTCAACACTAGATGTAATTAAGAGGAAACTCTTACTGGTGAATTATAAATATTTCAAGAGTCCAGAAATTACATTTCACTTCTCAATTAGTTTTGTCTCTTTATCTTAGAATATTACATGAGGTTAAACAATTTAGTAAAGCATAACTGATAGAGGACATTTTATAGAGGGCCATGGAAAACTAAAACTACATTTTACATGGGAGGTCAGAAACTTTATACAGTGAATCCTGCGTATATTTCACCCGACGCTCTTGTTTAATGTAAGTTCATAGATTTCTATTCAGAGATATAACAAGCACTGTAACAAACGTCCATGTGTAACTCATGGCTTAGTTCATCCGGCAACATCCATTTCCTCACTCTCATGTCTCACCCCAAAAAGGTTTATGTGGCACAGTGTTTGTGAAGAAACATGTAGTAATGACCATGCCCAGTGAACAGAGCTTGGCTGCTCAGACAAATGTAAAGTAGTAAATTAAGGATTCCCATCTTGTAACATTAGATTACATCAATATATCAATGTTTAACATTGATTAACAAGAAGATGTATACTAAAAGATACCACGTATTTTCATTCTTTCCTATTTTTTAGTGGATATATGTGTTCTCATATCTAATTTGAGGGAAATAAAAAGATTCTAAAGGACTATTGGCTTCCTTGCTTACTAAAGCATCTGCTCTAGCTGTCCCTTCTAAAACTAGGGCCATTCATCAATAATTTTATAATATATTAAAATAAACAAGAGACGATGCAAAGTATCAGCTGAAGACTTTGTCACGATGTTAGTGTAACTGATAAAAGAAACTATTCTCTGAGATACATTGTATTCTTTCTCCCTAAGTTGAAGAATTTAGAAGAAAACACTTTGCATAACTTAATTAGTGAAAGAATTAGTAGGAAACATTTAAAATGGATTTTTTTGGGTAATCCAAGTATAACTTAATCAGAATTTCCATGTCCATGAGTCTAGTTTTGTCTTATAGTTTTGTCTTGTAGATTTCTTTTCTTGTATCACAATTACTATGACTGAAGATTTAGTCTATACTTGAAGAAGTTCTTCAACACTGGAATCCATTTATAAATAAAGTGAACCTAGCCATAGAATGTTAACATGATTTTTCATATGTCTCTTCCAGTTGAGTTCTTTGATTATTTGTCAATTTTTTCCTAAGGCTAAATGTAAGAAGCAATCATGGAGCTTCTTAAAATAATGATTTATTGGCCTGTATCTAGTGATTCTCATTTGATAAGTCTGAGATATTGTCTGGTCACCTCTATCTTTTCAAAATTATACAACAGATTTTTATGTATGCTCACTGATCAAAAACTATCAGAAAACAGAAAAATAATTATTATAAAAACAATTAAATGCTTTCTCTAATGATATAAGGATCTCTCACAAGCGTGGTCCATTGAATGTCCAATGATATCACAATACAGTACATATATTACACACAATAAAGAAGACTAATATTAGAGTAGGGTGACAGGAAAATCTTTAGAGAATCCAGTAAGTGTATGAACCAACATGAGAGCATATTCAATGATGGTACTCTGGGTCATTCATTAAAAAGTTATATAAATTTGGGGCCAGCCTGGTGGCGTAGTGGATAAGTATGCGTGCTCTGCTGCGGTGGCCCAGAATTTGGATCCCCAGCATGCACCCGCACACCGCTTATCAAACCATGCTGTGGTGGCATCCCGTATAAAGTGAAGGAAGATGGGCACAGATGTTTGCTCAGGGCCGGTCTTCCTCAGCAAAAAGAGGAGGATTGGCAACAGATGTTAGCTCAGGGCTAATCTTCTTCACACACACAAAAAAAAGTTATATAAATTATACTAATTGGAATAAAAATAATTTAAATCATATTTGGTTAGGATTCAGAATATAAATTCATCAGTGGTATAATTTTGCAAACTTAGCTATAAAAAAGACTTCGGCCATCTGTAATTACACTTCAAGATGCAGTGATCCACTATATCCAAACATATCCAGGAAGAAAGCAAAAAGGAGGGGCCAGCCTGCTGGCAAAGTTGTTAAGTTCACACGCTCTGCTCTGATGGCCAGGGTACATGGGTTTAGATCCCTGGTGCAGATCTAACTACTCATCAAGCAATGCTGTGGTGGCATCCCACATACAAAATAGAGGACGATGGGCACAGATGTTAGCTCAGGGCCACTTTTCCTCAAGCAAAAAGAGGAAGGCTGGCAACAAGTGTTAGCTCAGGGCCAATCTTCCTCACCAAAAAAAGAAAAAAAGAAAGAAAAAAGGAAGATAAAGAATAAGAAAGATTGACTGACTTCTCTCCTCCATACTTTTTTGCTGTGTTCAAACATTAACGTTTTTTGACTTATATCTCTCCTGACTCCTGGAAATATTTTTTTCAAACAGGACACTTGCATACTCTTTAGCAAAGTTAGTGAATACTGCTTTGTTTCTGTATTAACCTCATAATTCCAAGACCTTCAGTTTATTTTTTAATTCACTGCTGCCCAACGCCTAGCCACTTTTAATTCACAGGTTTATATACTTGTAAACCTATAGGTCAGCCACCGACCCTTTGCTTTCTCCGACACAATGGCAGCCTATCTTAAACATCTCTTCATCTGCCTGTAGAGTTCTAAAATCACATTGATTTAAAGAACAGCATAAATTTGTCCAAAACCGCTTTAAAGCAGCCTTCACGTCCTTATTCCGCAGGCTGTAGATCATGGGATTCAGCATGGGGATCACCAGTGTATAAAACGTAGAAGCCAATTTACCAGTATCCAATGAATGGTTAGGTCGAGGCTGCACATACGTAAAGAGTAGAGTCCCATAGAAAACTGTGACTGCCATCATATGTGAAGCACACGTGGAAGAGGCTCTTTTCCTTCCTTCTGATGAACATATCCTTAGAATGGACAAAACAATGTTGAAATAAGATACTAGAACTATAATCAAGGAAAAAATCAAGTTTGTAGCTGCAGATATAAAAACTACTGTTTCTGGAAAGTAAGTATCAGAGCAGGACAATGCTAGCAGAGCAACAGTATCACAGAAAAAATGATTGATTTCATTGGAAGAGCAATAAGACACAGAGAATACACAAGATGAAACCACAACAGCTGTGGAAAAGCTATAGAGGTATGTGAGGGACACCAGCAGAAGGCAGATCCGCCGAGACACCACCGCCATGTAGAGCAGGGGGTTACAGATGGCCACATAGCGGTCATAGGCCATCACAGCTAACATGAGAACCTCAGCTACGATGAAGACCAAGAACACTCCCAGTTGGGTGGCACACTCATAGTAGAAGGTGATTTTCTTCTTTACAAGAAAATTGATGAGCATTTTAGGGGCAATGACAGTAGAATTGCCAAGATTGATGACAGCCAAATGTCGGAGGAAAAAGTACATGGGGGTCTGAAGTCGAGAGTCAACACTGGTGAGAGTGATGATGCTCAGGTTCCCAGCCACGGTCAGTCCATAGATGACCAGGAACACAAAGAAGAGTGGGATCTGGAGGTCTGGATGGTCTGAGACGCCTGTGAGAATAAACTCAGTGACCCGGGTGAAATTTCCAGGAGCCATGTAAGAGTTTGGATATTCATCTGCTTAGGGAAGAAAAGGAGAAGTGATTACAAATTTACAGAATTCTTTCCTATGACTACCATTAGGTGGCAGGGGCAATTCCTTAGGTGAGAATTCCTGCAGTCATGTATTAATCTAACTCATTTATTAAACTCAAGGTTCTAAGTCTAATAAACTTTGCAATCATTTGAGGGAGAGAAAAAGCAAGTATGGTAAATTATTTTTAAATAGATGACTCAGCATCATGCATATTTTGAGGATTTACTTTCTCACAATCTTATTACATTATGAATATCTTATTAGCCCGCAGACAATAGAAGCCATGATTCATATCTTATGTTTTTTGCGTTGTGTGAGAAAGGCTTAAGGAATGGTATGCCCCAAATCTTCCTAATCTAGATTTCTTGCTTTTTCTCAAGAATAGATGATTTAGCCATTACCCTGCTCCTTTTTCTTTTTTCTGTCTTTCTATAACTTCTATTCAATGTATGTTAAACTGGCAAATTCTACCACCCATGTCTGTTAACTGCTTTTTCTCGTTTCTTATTTTATTGACTGAGACAAAAATACACGCAGGTATGTCCTCAGATCTATTTTTCAGATTACTACTTCTCTTTCAGCTTTTAAAAAATGATCTGTGAAAATGTTATCATTTTTACAATCCCATCCCACTAGGCTTTACTG